AAAAATTCTACATCCACCAGCACAAGGACGCTTATCTCTGCTTATAGCTCTGAGTACAAAGAAAAGTATTTATGAGAAAGTGAAACCTCAGGCCTGTGCAAGGAGTTGAATAGTTGAATTTATCCTAATCACATGATGAGGAAAACCATAAGCTGAGAAATTAAGATAAAAAACTGGTTCTACCCAAAACTATAAAAACCCTGTAAGAAAACCTAGGAAATACCACTCAGGACATAGGCGCGGGCAAAGATTTCATGACGAAGATGCCAAAAGCAATTGCAATGAAAGCAAAAATTGACAAATGGGATCCAATTAAACTAAAGAGCTCTGCACAGCAAAAGAAACTATCGTCAGAGTGAATAGACAACCTACAGAAAGGGAGAAATTTTTGCAATCTATGCATCTGGAAAAGGTCTAACATCCAGCATCTATAAGGAACTTAAACAAATTTACAAGAAAAAAACATTAAAAAGTGGGCAAAGGACACGAACAGATATTTCTCAAAAGAAGACATACATGTGGCCAACAAACATGAAAAAAAGTTCAACATCACCGATCATTAGAGAAATGCAAATCAAGACCACAATGAGATACTATCTCACGCCAGTCAGAGTGGTTATTATTAATAAGTCAAAAAACAACAGATGCTGGCAAGGCTGTGGAGAAAAAGCAACGGTTTTACACTGTTGGTGAGAGTGTAAATCAGTTCAATCACTGTGGAAGACAAGTGTGGCAATTCCTCAAAGACCTAGAGGCAGAAATATCATTCAACCTAGCAATCCCCTTACTGGGTATATACCCAAATATACATAAATCATTCTATTGTAAAGACACATGCACATGTATGTTCACTGCAGCACTATTCACAATAGCAAAGTCATGGAATCAAGCTAAATGCCCATCAGTGAGAGACTGGATAAAGACAGTGTGGTACAAGAACAGAAAACCAAACACCACATGTTCTCACTCATAGGTGGGAACTGAACAATGAGATCACTTGGACTCGGGAAGGGGAACATCACACACCGGGGCCTATCATGGGGAGGGGGGAGGGGGGAGGGATTGCATTGGGAGTTATACCTGATGTAAATGACGAGTTGATGGGTGCTGACGAGTTGATGGCTGCAGCACACCAACATGGCACAAGTATACATATGTAACAAACCTGCACATTATGCACATGTACCCTAGAACTCAAAGTATAATAATAAAAAAAAAAATTAAAAAAAAATAAAAATAAAAATATATTTCCACTTAAAAAAAAAAAGAAAAAAGAAAATGTGGTACATATACACCATGGAATACTATGCAGCCATAAAAAGAACGAGATCATGTCTTTTGCGGGAACATGGATGAAGCCGAAGGCCATCATCCATAGCAAACTAACACAGGAACAGAAAACTAAATACCTCATGTTCTCACTTGTAAGTGAGAGCTAAATGATGAGAACTCATGGACATGAGGGGAACAACAGACACTGAGGCCTACCTGAGGGTGGAGGGTGGGAGGTGGGAGAGGAGCAGAAAATAATAGCTATTGGGTACTGGGCTTTGTACCTGAGTGATGAAATAATCTGTACAACAAACCTCCGTGACATAAATTTACCTATATAACAAACCTGTACATGTACCCCTGAACCTAAAATAAAAGTTTAAAAAAGTGAAAAAAAAAAAAAGTGTGGTATATATACACCCTGAAATACTATGCAGCCATAAAAAGGAATGAGATCATGTCCTTTGCAGGGACATGGATGGAGTTGGAGGCCATTATCCTTAGCAAACTAACACAGGAACAGAAAACCAAACGCCGTATGTTCTCGCTTCTAAGTGGGAGATAAATGATGAGAACATAAGGACACATAGGTGAACAACACACACTGGGGCCTGTTGGAAGGTGGGGGATGGGAGGAGGGAGAGGATCAGGAAGAATAATGGATGCTGGGCTTAATACCTGGGTAACAGTATGATCTTTGCAGCAAACCACCATGGCACACGTTTACCCATGTAACAAACCTGAACATCCGACACATGTACCCTTGAACTTAAAATAAAAGTTGGAAATTAAAACAAATAAACAGGTTCTAGGGGTGATACCTCAGGGGTATACTGCAGAAGCAGATGCAAAACCACTCTGAAAGGACTTTTCACCAATCCAGGCTACAAAGTATTTCCTTAGAAAAACAAGACCCATAATAAAATATTAGAACTGACAAGGAAATAAACTCTACCCTATGAGGTAGAGTTAGCAGACACAACAAACCATGTGATTTTCAGCCCAAGAACTTGAGATAACAGAATAACAATCTTAAAGAAGGTATAATATACATGATTTATCATGATTAAAGGCATAAAGGACTATATAGGAGCCATAAAAAAATACGACACTGTGAAAAAGAACAGGTAAATATAAAAAAGTACAAATACACCTTTCAGAAAAAAACAGCCATGGAAACAAGTTTAATGGAACAACGGCACACTGGACACAGCTAAAGAGACTTTAAAATGAACTGCAAGACAGACCTGAGGAAATTACCCAAAATGTAGCAGAGAAAAATACAAGCATTTGTATTTTTTATATAAGATATTTTATGATCAGATTGAACCTTACAATGTTTTTCAGAAGATGAGGCAGCACACTGAGTATCTGAGCCACTCTTATGTAAAAAGTGGTACTAGAACTGTACTGTGCAATATGGTAGCCTCTAGACACATGTTGCTACTGAGCACTTAAAACTGTGGTTAACTGAGAAACTAAATTTTAAATTACATTTACTTTTAATTCATTTAAATTAAAAATATTATACAGTCACATGCCACATAACATTTTGCTCGGTGACAGACCACCATGTGATGGTGGTCCCTTGAGATGATAATGGAACTATACAATGGAGTAGGCTATACCACCTCGGTTTGGTACATACATAACTCTATGATGTTCGGACAACGACATCACCTCATGACACATTTCTTAGAACCTATTCCCGTTGTTAAGCAACATGTGACTGCACTTGGTTTAGTTATTGGAAAACTTTGAAGTATGTTTGAAACAATTTGGGCACGTAAATCTACTTTGTATGAAAGATAAAATACTTTGATGAAAATGTAGTGTCTGAATTGAGATGTGCTGTAAGTGCAAAATATATACCAGATTTAAAAAAAAGTAAAATATTAATTTTTAAAATAATTGAGTACATCTTGAGATAAAATTTTGGATATGTCAAAACATATTATTAAGTCCCTTTTAAATCTGGCTATTAGAAAATTTGAAATCACATATATGACGGACATATACCTATTGGACAGAAGAAGTGTATTAGAACAAATAAAAAATGGAGATCCGAGTTGCTCCCTCAGATCTAAAATGCTGGAGGCTGGACAGTGGGGAATGAAAGAAACTCATCTGAAGACAGCTATTGCAGATATAAGAAGCTGTAGAATCAAGAGTTTCACTTTCACTTACTGTCACTAAAAATAAAGTCACTCTAAGGGCGTTGGCTGCAAGTCTGTGACTTCTTTTAAGTTCCAGATAAAATTGCAATTAGGTTGAGAAGGTTGTTTCCACAATTTTTAAAGTGACTATGAATATGGAACATGTATATATAAATATACTATGCACATACATTATACACACATATACATGCACATATACACATGTACAGTGCATATTTTGGACCAGCTAAATTTCTCTTTTACTTTACATGTCCCAAATAGTCTAGTTTCCCAAATGCCCAAGATAAATTCAGGACTCTACCTCAGTGGTTCTCATTTGAGGATCTTGCTAAAAGTGCTGACTTTGATTTGAAGGTCTGAGTTGGGAACAAAAATTCTACATTTAAAAAAAGCTGGCTGGGCGCAGTGGCGCATGCCTGTAATCCCATGAGGGAGGCTGAGGCAGGCAGATCACCTGAGGTCAGGAGTTCGAGACCAGCCTGACCAAGAGATGGAGAAACCCCATCTATACTAAAAATGCAAAATTAGCTGGGCTGTGGTGGCACATGCCTGTAATCCCAGCTACTTGGGAGGCTAAGGCAGGAGAATCGCTTGAACCTGGGAGGTGGAGGTTGTGGTGAGCTGAGATCGCACCATTGCACTCCAGCCTGGGGAACAAGACTGAAACTCTGTCTCAAAAAAAAAAAGCTTTCTAGTGATTAGATATGTATTTGTGTGTCTACATATACATATTAATATATACTTTAAATTTGAATCTTCAGTTAGTTCATTCATTTTACTCAGTGATCAAAGAAACATTTCACAACATGAATTTTGAGCCCAGTGCTGCAATAGACACTTTCCTTCCATTGGATCTTCTCTTCTCAGGCCCTTCGTACTTGCCTTGTTTTCACTGTATTTCATCAATTATTTTACGATACACTAAGAAAGAATTGAATGCTGCCCATTAGACTACGACATTCATTTAACTATAGCCCTATTCAAAAATGTCAAAATGTGAAAAATATGCATCTGTGATGATAAATGGAATCAGTTTCCCCAGGTCTTACTTTGAGACCCACATTTAATACTGCTGATGGATACTGGGGCCTGGATGCCACTTTATACCCCTTCCCATACATGAATTCATGATGTCTCCCCCAAATAATCCCTACTTTCTTCTGAATTCTATATCTCAGTAAGCAACACAAGCCCTAGGTAATTCAGATGCAGACAGTTCTCAGTCCATACCCTGAGAAACAGTGTTCTTCAAGGAAAGTCTCTATAATTGTTCTCAGTGTTGTGAAATTTATGGTTACCATCTAGGGGTTTGCTAGTTCAAAGTCAATGTTTTCTTACAGGTATTTTATAAATATACCAAGGATACCAGCCAGCCCCACAATGTAGCCTCAAGAACTACTTAGAAATGTGGCTGTGTAACACTACTCCCTGTTTTTGAATCTTAAAATTTGCTCCTTGTTTAGGACAAAATATTTCCGGCTTGTGACTCAATATATAATATTCATTCTAGTAAATCTTTCACTAAAGCATCACTTTTATCCTAACTTTTAGGAAGGAAATCTGTCCTGGATATGACAAAAAGGCTGCAAAAAGGAAAAGGAGCCAGATGGTAACCACCTAAGTCCAGTAACCACGTGATCTTGAGACTTTTTATGCTGAAATATAACCCCACTCACTTATGTACTCTAAAATGTTGTGTAATCATGACTTAGTGCCACCACTAAATGAATAAATATGGAATGTGTTACATTTAATGTGCTCTGAGGGTACTGCTGTGTATTTTATTATATAATCATAAACCCATTGATATACCTGAATAAACCACATCCACCTCTAAAGCATCATTTCTCTCCATATGATCCACTTAAAACTGCAAATGGCTTAATCTAGTGTCTCAATACACTTAAGACTTAAAAGGAGACTAAAGATGAACAAGATGAACATTTTGATAGCACTTTCTACAAAAAATGCTTTATTTAAAAATATGATCTTTTTAAAAAGGAGACAACTTTTATATACACTTACTTTAGAAACAGTCAAAAACACAACAAAATAAATCCAGATTTAGAAATGATGATTTATAACATACAATACTGGTGTGCTGAACAAGACAGTTTAAATGTATGATTCTTTTTGTCCCTTCACATTTCAATAATTCACATTTGTTAAAACTAGTGGTTGGGACTAAAGAAAAGGTCATATCTGAATCCTTTCCCCTTCAGAAATCTGTCACCCTTCTGGGCAGTTACAGAAATGGCAGCAGCTAGGCAGTGTCTGTATTTCTTTGGGTGCCTGTCTCTGTGTCAAAAAATATCTCTCTGCTTTTATTAATTTTTCTATGAAATTTATTTTTATGTGGCTATAGGGCCTGGTCATATGTCCCAGGCCTTTTAAAATCTAAATTTCTAAAAATGGACATTCCGTAAGGGCAAGGAGCATACACTGCTATGACCTCACTGGACTCAGAGTTTAATGCTCTTAGGTTATCAGCAAGAGACATGATTTTGATCTTCCAGTTTGCACTCCAAAGAGCTATCAACCAATCTTTTTCAGCATGGTAGTGAAATATTTCAAACTATATTCAAACATCTAATATAGACTTACAATAAAACAGGAAAAATGGCTTGCCAAATTAAAGTGCTATGAGCTACTACATTCAAGAGGTTATCTTGATTTTCTTTTATTTTTTGAGATGGAGTCTCACTCTGTCGCCTAGGCTGGAGTGCAGAGGCATGATCTCAGCTCACTGCAACCTCTGCTCCTGGGTTCAAGCAATTCTCCCTGCCTCTCAGCCTTCTGAGTAGCTGGGACTACAGGTGCCCGCCACCAAGCCTGACTAATTTTTGTATTTTTAGTAGAGATGGGGTTTTCCTATGTTGGCCAGGCTGGTCTTGAACTCTTGACCTCAGGTGATTCACCTGCCTCAGCCTCCCAAAGTGCTGGGATTACAGGCGTGTGCCACTGCGCCTGGCCTATCTTGATTTTATAATCTGATGTTTAAAAACTATTTTCCACCATGGTCACCGCTTCTCAAACTGGGGAACTCTAGCCATCTTCCGGGAGTGTCACTTTTTTTTTTTTTTCAGACATAGACGTTTAAAAAATTTTTTAATCTTAAAAAGTTCTGTTGTATATATTCACAGGTAAAATAGGAATAATTTTAAAGATAAAACACATGGCTTCAAAGAAATTACAAGTTGACATCTTGGACTCTACCCATCGTACTTTATCTCCTCTGAGGAGGATTTCAGTAATTACAGCTGCGAAGCAATGACCTAGGAGATCTTGATTTCTCAAAGTGTAGCTAGGTCTTTACTGACAGTGAATGTAAATAAAATTCAAAGTCTTGGTGCATCCTCCTGAGTTCCATCTTCAGATATAATGTAATTCTCTGATTAAATACATACAGTCCTGTCTATACTGATCAGGAATTAAGTCAACGAAAGAACTCTGGACTGATTTTTATTTTTCATTGTTTATAATTAGAGGAATGATGCAGTTAAAGAAGATTACTGCTTTACAACTAAAAATACACAACATGTGTCATCAAAGGGAGTGGAACTCATGAAGCCAAAAGATTAGAACTTGACCCAGTGAAAATAATGGGGACAGTAACTGGGTGGTTTTTTCCCTCTTCCAAATTTACATTAAATTATATTATCCCTATTCTTTACTGCCCTTTTGGCTGAAGAGGTAAATACATGGTATTTTTCTGAATAATTAATTACATTACCTCCTCTAGAATCCCAAATCCACTAGGGATTCTTTCTTGACTCCAAAAGGATGCTTTCGGTATGTCATGGGTATAAACTCAAACTGCTTGCCAATTGTAACTACTTGTCAAATAGAAAGTCAATAGCCATTTTCTGTATAAATAACATTTATAAAGAACAAAATTAAGTTGCAAATGAAATTACGTCAAATTTACAGTTTCTTTTTTTAAACAATGGGTCAATGTCATCAACATTATCTGTAAATCAAGTTATCATCTGATACATTTAATAATTAAATACATTAAATATGACAATGGATCAAAAATGATCCTAGCTAGTTTAAGGATTAATCTAATTAATCCCACAATTTAATGAGACCATCCCAACCACATGTTATGACCTTAGAAGTTTCATGAGGATGCCACACTGCACCTATACACACTTTATCATGAGCTTTAAATCGACTGTAGAGTTTTGTGGTCTTCCAGTCCCAAATGTTTAATTTTCCATTTCCATCTCCTGAAATCACATAACTATAATGGGAAGAAAAATAAATTCAAATTATTCAAATACCTTAACCTGGTAAGGTGAATGAAGAATAGGGGAAGATACTGTCTTTTCACATTAACATTAAAAAAAAATCCAATGCAAATATACAATACTCAGAATAACAGGTAGAACATGAAGCAGTCTACAATTTGAAATTCTATTTTAAAAAACCTCCCAACCAATCTAAGAGTAGAAAATTATTTTTAACTGGGAAGACTGGGAGTCCCAGGGGCCATAATGAATGAGGTTACACAATCAGTCTCTAGATAGTCAGAAACAGAGATTGGAGAACCAATTCCACATATAGCTAGGGAACACTTTTAGATCGATTCCATCATAGTAGCTCTACCACTTTCATAATTACTTTTTGGCTTTAATATCTTTTGAATACATCTAAGACTGAATCAGAGGTAGGCCCAATTACTAAGCTAAACATACAAAGTTACTGGGATTTCTAAATTACTTCTACCTATACATTTTAACTAAGAATCATGCTGTAGGCTTCACAAATCCAGTGTGACCTAGAAATATTCAAAAGCTGGATTAGAGGTTTCAGCACAGACAAGCTGTAGTGAAGCTCTAACTGCAACACTGTAATACACAATTAATTCTTCTGGTGTTCATTCAGTCATAGCAATACAGTGATTATAGCACTTCTAGTCTTGCTTAGAAAAGCAGAGAGAAAATAAGACTTTGGTTATATTGACAGGGATTTATTAGGTGACTAAAGGGCATAAGCCTAAGTAATAGAAGGGAATATACTAAAGCAAGAACCTAAAAAAAGCAAAATGTAATTTTCCTAATTTGTTCTCGCCTTTATAGCCAGCATTTTGAAAATGTTAACAGATTATCGAGTTTTCATAAAAATATATTATGTGAGAGTGATGTGTAAAGTGTTATTTGTACAACAACAGTTTATATCATATTTGAATACTAGAACGGGTTAGAAGTTTTAAACTTACCTCATGTCTGGTGAAAAGTCCACCTGACAAGCGTAGCCTGCTACCATATGGCCCTTAAAAATTTTTTTCTTATTTAATCTAAATCTGTTCTGTGCTCCAAAAATTAAGATTTGGTTGTCCATTGATTGGCATGCTAGCCATTTTCCTGTAAATTCAATAAATGAGGTATTTTAGAGAAAGACTAAAACATTTTTTAAAACTTTTTATTTTAAATATGTTCACTGTGATTAATATAACTTTTGCTCCCAAATACTTTATAACACTAAAAAATAAATTTACTATACCACCTGTAAAGTGTTACAAATATGTCACTGGCAAGAGGTATTAATATATAAACTAAAGGCTTTTGCATATACAATCCTATATCATTGAGCATTCTCATATAAAAGCTTTTTTTTTTTTTAAAGAATAAGGAAATATAGAAATTCCAAGTTTCATGTTAAAGAAATAAGCTAAAAGTTATGAAATGAAATGAATTTATAGTAAGTATAGACAACAGAACTATGGGAAATAGGAGAAAGAGACTTACCTGTGGTAATTATGGAATAAAGAAAGATTAACTGGTGAGAAAGCCTAGGGTTATAAAATAAAACTATACAAAAAAAGAGGTAATTTTAAAAAATTATAGTAACTTTTTTAACAGCCACAATGCTTTTCTCTACTTAGGATTCATCAAAGCCCCTAGAGCCTAAACTGCAGTGTCTATAGTCATGCGCCACTTAACAATCTTTCGGTCAATGATGGACCACACATATGACAGTGGTCTCATAAGATTATAGAGCCAAATTTTTACTGTATCTTTTCTATATTTAGATATGTTTCAATACACAAATGCTTACCACTGACTAGATTATTCAGAACAGCAACATGCCATACAGGGGTAGAGCCTAGGAGCAAGAGGCTATACCATACAGCCTGGGGTAAGTAGGCTATACCATCTAGGTTTGTGTAAGTACTCTGTATGATGTTCATAAAATGACAAAATCACCTAATGCTGCATTTCTCACAAGTACCCTTGTTGTTAGGAATGCATGACTATACTTCCACCCTATATACAGTCATTCCTTGGTATCTGTTGGGAACTGGTTCCAGAATCTGCACTCCCTACCCAATACCAAAATCCACAGATGCTCAAGTCCCTTATATAAAATGGCATAGTATTTGCATATAACCTACACATATCTCCTGTATATATTAAATCACCTCTCGATTACTTATAATGCCTAATACAACATACATGCTTTGTACCTAGTTGCTATCCTGTGTTTTTTAATTTGTATTTTTAATTGTTATATTGTTATTTTTTACTGTTTGTTTTGTTGAATATTCTGGACTCGTGCTGCTTGAATCCCAGGATGTGGTACTCATGGACACGAAGGGCCAACAGTACATGTAAACATTACTAAGTAAGGAAATAGACTCAATGCCTGAGTGGGTAAATGGCCTTGTTCAAGATGGGCACAAAATTTGTAACAGGTAAAAATAAGCTACGTGAAATGTAGATGCACAGTGATGAAGTATATAATCTAGCAATTATCAAAAAAGGATTCACTTAGGTTGCTTTTCTTATAAAAAAGATTGAGCATTTGACAACTATTACCATTTGCTTGTGTCAGAGGCCCTGATGGAACACAAAACTCTTCCTTGCCCCATTATGTGAGTTGACAGTGGCTTCGATGACAATGTCCCCCAAATATCAGAACCCTCACTTTAAGACTCTCATGTAGAGCTATAATTACATCAGTATATTGTCAGTATATCTGTAGCACAAATTATCTTGTACTGAAGACAATGGATTAAACAATATTAAATAGATTTATCTTTTTAATTTTTGCCTGAGAAAATTTTTTATAGTGAATTGCTAAAGTGTTCTCATTATAAAGAATCAGACCAAAATTTCCTATCCCCTGAAAGAGATTACAATAAACCATTATTATTATTTTTTTTAGAGAGAAGGGTCTTGCTCTGTTGCCCAGGCTGGAGTATAGTCATGCAATCATAGTCAACCTCCTGACTCAAGCAAACTGCCCATCTCGGCCTCCCAAGTAGCTAGAACTACAAACGTGCACCACCACGCCAGGTGATTTTTAAAATTTTATTTTGTAGAGACGAGGTCTCTCTATGTTGCCCAGGCTAGTCTCAAACTCTTGGGGTCAAGTGATTCTCCTGCCTTGGCCAATCATTATTAAATAATGTACTGAACGTGATTCTCTTTGGAAGGAGAATGAGAAAAGAAAACTCTGGCCGGGCATAGTGGTTTAGGCCTGTAATCCCAGCAGCTCGGGAGGCTGAGGAGGGAGGATAACTTGAGCCCAAGAGTTTGAGACTAGGCTGGGCAACAAAGGGAGACCCTTGTTTCTTAAAAAAAGAAAAAAAAAGAAAAGAAAAGAAAAGAAAACTGATTGTTAAACAGAAATCTTTTGATGTTCAATCAAGGTTAGCAGTAAATCATTTTTTAATTTTTATTTAAAAAAAGACACAGAAAAGTAGGTGAGGTGACTTACATATGAAAGCCAGTAATTCTTTCTAATATTGTAAAGATTACCTTATACAAGTAATGGCACTGTGACAAACTTTCCCAAGAAGGAAGGGGCCAAAGTTCTTTTGAATACAGAAATCACACCGTATCTTAAAAGCTCATTTAAAAATACAACCTACACACGAACTCACCATTTGGAGACAAAGTCACTGCAGGCATTGAGTGCATACTGGGTTCTGCTATATACTTGAAATCCACAGGGATATCCCTAAAAATTTTAAATAGGATATCGGAATAAGCAATTTTTATAAAGTACCTTCTGAAGAATTATCTCTGGAACAAAGGAATAATATGCAAATAAAAGCAAACTCTTGAAATTATGTATTTAATAAATCTTTCATGAAACTTTCTGGAAGAAGAAAAATCACAAGATGACACTGTATTGCTTATGGTGAATCTTGTACTTCATAAATGACTTTCCATGGTCATTATAACAGTGACAGTGATGTTGTTTTCTATTTGATTTAAACCTGGCCTTTATGTTAAAAAATCTGTTACTAAAAGTTCTTTAATAATGTACCATGGCAACGGGTACACTAAAATCTCAGAATTCATCACGATATAATTCATCCATGTAGCCAAAACCCATTTTTAGTCCAAAAGCTGTTGAAGTAAAAATAAATAAATCAATTAAAAATGTACCATGGTAGGGCAAAGCAAGATGTCTGAGGCAAGCCTGGGGGAAGTGTTATTTTACCAGCCAGTCAACCTTAACTCGAGGGGGTGAGAGTGTTAAAGAGCCTGCAGCAATGCAGGAGGATGGCAGGCAAAGCTGTCGGGATCTGTGAGCTGGTCTAGCCCATCCAGAAATGATGATAAATTATGATAAATAATTGCTTGGTACCTGGACTATTTTCAGTTTACATGTAAAGCATTTCAAATGTGTTTGGTGAAGGAGAAAAAACATTAAAAAAAAAAAAAAAACAACTCATGTGAGTGATACAAAGAATGAAAGAAAAAAAAATCAAAAACCAGCCACCTAAATTTAGAACCATCAAAAGTTCTAAGTGCCTTTTCATTTTCAATATTCTCCAAGCTAAAAATCCTTTTCTGAAAGGAGTTCTGGTCTTGTTGCTTTTCATGAAACCAGAAATATTTTTTACAGAGTAATGTGTGGGAAATGTAATCTGATGAGTAACACAGATTATACAGCAGCAATTTCAATTTCAAACCCTGTTTCAAGTTCCAATACTCTGGTTAACTGTAAAACAATAATAATGTGCCTTAATATAAGGATTTTCTCTATTTATCCATCCATCCAGCAGAAGGAGCAAATGACTAGAAGAAACTTCTATCAGGGTCGTGGTCAGAGGAAAACATTTTCAGGTATAACCTGGGGAATAACATCATTTGTCAGATCTCCAACCCTTTATAAACCTCTATGGTACCAATGAGAACTGACATTTAGAATGACTCAAATGTATTAAAAAGATCTGCGATCGAAAAAAGGCTTGTTTCTTCCTTCCTTGTACTTATTGTTAGTGGTTAGTTATTTTACAATATGAATTAAAACATGAGAATTTTCTAAATTAACCGTATTCCAGGTTCATATTGATCAATGTGTTAACAAAAGTAAACAAAGAAATTCAAATGGATACCTTATTTCAAGGAATCTTCATACCAGGAGCTTGGAAGAAGAATTGGAACTACGCTGTGGACTTCATTATTTCTAGCAACAATGCCTGCTAGGCATAAACACAACATGGCTCGGCACGGTGGCTCACACCTGCAATCCCAGCACTTTGGGAGGCCAAGACGGGTGGACCACCTGAGGTCAGGAGTTTGAGACCAGCCTGGCCAACATGGCAAAACCCTGTCTCTACTAAAAATACAAAAATTAGCTGGGTGTGGTGGCACAGGCCTGTAATCCCAGCTACTCGGGAGGTTGAGGCAGGAAAATTGCCTGAAGCCAGGGGGCGAAGGCTGCAGTGAGCCGAGATCATGCCACTGCACTCGACACTCCAGCCTGAGCGACAGAGTGAGACTCCATCGCAAAAATAAACAAACAAACAAACAAACACAGCACTATTTTCTAATTGGATACTGTAACTCAGTATAATAAGCTAGTAATTCATATCTTGCAAATAATCTCGTTTAAAAATGAATTCACCAAAAAAAAAAAACCTAATAAATGTCTATGAATTTTTAAAGCTAAAATATAAACAGTAGTGTCAACTTCCATAAAATTTTCTTTAAGAAATATTTTACCAAAATAAATACCTTCTGGAGAAAACACGTCTATGACATTTCATGCATTTGGTCAATTAAAATACCATGAGTTGGCCCGGTGCGGTGGCTCATGCCTGTAATCCCAGCACTTAGCGAGGCCGAGGTGGGCGGATCATGAGGTCAAGAGATTGAGACCATCCTGGCTAACATGGTGAAACCCTGTCTCTACTAAAAATACAAAAATTAGCTAAGCGTAGTGGCGCATGTCTGCAGTCCCAGTACTTGGGAGGCTGAGGCAGTAGAATCACTTGAACCTAGGAGGTGGAGGTTGCAGTGAGCCAAGATTGTGCCACTGCACTCCAGCGTAGGTGACAGAGTGAGACACTCCCTCAAAAAAAAAAAAAGTTGCTGAATATCTAATACAGTCTTTTATTCTCCTTTAGAACATAATACAGTTAGTTTGTATAGTTTTACTTAAGAAAGCCAAGTTTCCTTTTCTTGTATTATTATGGTACTCTAAGCAGGTACAGAGTATAAAAGTTTGGCAAACACCACTTGTCTGAAGGCCCCAGTGTTGCTAATTTTCCCAGAGAGGAGGTCAGCTGTCACTTTGCGGAGGTCAGGGCGTCCCTTCCTCTCCTAAGCAAGTGGCCATCACTAGTAATTGCTCTTAGGGATCATTTATGCAGTGACGCACAGTTCTGGGGCTCCTGAGCTGGTTTTGCTTCCTACTTGTCTTTGTAGCAGGACAGACCCTCACATTTATTACTTTCTCACTAATCAAATCAAATACAAGTTATTACTACCTTCTCTCCTTACCAGTCCCCTCATTCATCTAACTATCCATCCACATGATCAAGAATTCAAGTTTTGTGAGGCCAGTAGTTTGTGACCAGCCCAGCAAACAGAGTGAGACCCTGTTTCTACAAAAAACTTAAAAATTAGCCTGGCATGGTGGCATGCACCTGTAGTCCCAGTCACTCAGGAGTCTAAGGGAGGAGGATCACTTGAGCCCAGAGCCCAGTAGTACAAGGTTGCAGCAAGCTATGACTGCACCACTACATCTAGTCTAGGCAACAGAGTGAGATCCTGTCTCTTAAAACACAAAAAACAAGCTTTGGAATCAGTTTGATCACAGTGTGAACTCTGGCCCTTTCGTGTCCTATATAACCTTGGGCAAATTACTTAAACTATATTAACTTCCTTATACATAAAATGGGAAAAACAAATGTACCTATCTTATAAGATTGCTTTGCACACTAAATCAGATGGTTCAGGTGAAATGCTTAGCATAGTGACTGGCATATAGAAAGAGCTCAATCAGTGTAACATCATTGATAATTATACCAATAATGACTTCTTTAGAGATTCAGCACATATTGTGTGCCAGGCACTGTGTTGGGAACAGACAGTAAGCATGACTCATACTGTTCTTTCTCTCATGGTTAAGAACTTGTCAGGAAAGAGAACAAATAAACAAGCACTTGAAGTATGCTAAAAGCTGTGGAAAGCCAACGACAGTGTGGGATGATAGAGAGGAGGCACCTAATCTTATCTGAGGACTGGTCAGAAAGGCTCTCATAGTAACAGTTAAACTGAAATCTGTTTTTTGTTGTTGTTTTTTTTTGTTTTTGAGACGGAGTCCCGCTCTGTTGCCCAGGCTGGAGTGCAATGGTGCAATCTCGGCTCACTGTAACCTCCACCTCCCAGGTTTAAGCGATTCTCCTGCCTCAGCCTCCCAAGTACCTGGGATCACAGGTGCACACCACCACATCTAGAGACGGGGTTTTACCATGTTGGCCAGGCTGGTCTTGAACTCCTGACTTCGTGATCTACCCACCTTGGCCTCCCAAAGTGCTAGGATTATAGGTGTCAGCCACCGTGCCCGGCCTGCAATCTGTTTTTTTAAAATTACATATTTATTTATAATTTTTAATTTTTTTATTCAGATGGGGTCTTGCTCTGTCACCCAAGCTAGAGTGCAGTGGCACAAGCATAGACCACGGCAGCCTCGACCTCCCAGGCACAAGCAATCCTCCTGCCTCAGCCTCCCGGGTAGCTGGGACTACAGGCCTGTGCCACCACACTAGCTAATTTTTTTATTTCTTGTAGAGACGGGGTTCAAGAACCCAGGCTGGTCTCGAACTCCTGGGTTCAAGCGATCCACTCAAATCAGCCTCCCAAAGTGCTGGAATTATAGGTATGAGCCATTGTGCCCAGCCAAGTTAAAGTAAAATCTAAAGAATGACGTCATTTGTAACAAAACAGTATCATGACTTTTTAGGAGTATTTCCTAAGATCTGAGAGGAAATGAAAAAAAAAAAGAAACATACTAACATTACCATTAGTTTAACAAAAATTCTTTGCTGACCAATGTTTTACTTTAGAACACCCACATACACATATCCTTAAGCCCTGTAATTGCTCGATTGTTTAAATATTTACCAACTTCTTTTATACCACTCTACATTTAAACTTGAAAATATCTGAAGGTAGAAACATCAGAAAGTTTGAGTATGATCAAACTGTTAAAGTACATAAAACAAAACAGAACATGTATATGTATGTTTATTCTCCAGAGTCTGTGCAAATGATTTAAGGTGGTTCATATAAAACTTGGGGTCCATATTAGATACTCTGTAAAAAAACATTTCTGAAGTAAGAAAGATCTTAGCTGTAAGGTAGTCTCTAACATGGGCTATATGTTAAGACTACTCTCCACTACTTGGGGATAATCTGAAGGGGTGCAGTGGTGGTGGTGGTGAGTGTGGGAGAAACTACAATTAAATTACATTAAATGTTCAGTCACCCAGATTGTCCTGACAATGGTTAGGGACCTGCTCAGGTCCCCAAAGGGACTTAGGTATAAAGAGGAAACCACTGGCTGTGGTTCAAGGCTTTCCACTTGTTAAAGCAGAAAAACTTGTGGGGGATGGAAAGATACACTTTTTAGTCCTTGCTAGGAGGACTCATGGCTGAGCTGTGCTTCATAACTGACTGGTTTCCATTCAGTCATTCATTTTAACAAAAAGGTTAGTAAGCATTTTTTTGCAACTAAATTACAGAACACACAATGATATGTAATGAAACTAGTATATTGCTTAACTTTAGAAAAATATTTTTTTCCCTAGGAAAGTACAATTAACCAATATATGACTATATTCTATAAGTAAAACATTTGTACCAGAGTGATGATATGGGGTTACATGGTTTGGTTCTGTGTCCCCTCCCAAATCTCATCTTGAATTGTACTTCCATAATTCCCATGTATTGTGGGCGCGACCCTGTGGGAGATAACTGACTCATGGGGATGGTTTCTCCCATACTGTTCTCGCATGGTAGCGAATCAGTCACACAAGATCTGATGGTTTTATGAAGCGAAACCCCTTTCACTTGGCTCTCATTCTCTCTCTTGCTGCCGCCATGTAAGAAGTGCCTTTCTGGCCAGGCGTGGTGGTTCACGCCTGTAATCCCAGCACTTTGGGAGGCCGAGGTGTGCGGATCACAAGGTCAGGAGATCAAGACCATCCTGGCTAACACAATGAAACCCCGTCTCTACTAAAAATACAAAAAATGAGCTGAGTGTGGTGGCGGGCACCTGTAGTCCCAGCTACTCGGGAGGCTGAGGCAGGAGAATGGCGTGAACCTGGAAGGCAGAGCCTGCAGTGAGCCGAGATCACGCTGGTGCACTCCAGCCTGTGCGACAGAGCGAGACTCCATCTCAAAAAAAAAAAAAAAAAAAAAAAAGGGCCTTTCTCCTTCATCAATGGTTGTGGGGCCTCCCTAGCCATGTGGGACTTAAGTTCATTAAGCCTTTCTTTTATAAATTGCCCAGTCTCACGTATGTCTTTATCAGTAGTACATGGGGCACCTTTCAGTACTGAATAATCATAAAAAGTGGACATTTAAAAAAATTAAGATATACGCCACTACTTTCTTTGGGTGGTTCTAGGGCCACGATCTCATGCTCAATCCCCCTCCTCCTTGCCAGTTATTTTACAGAGATGAATAAGGAACCTAATAAAGAATGTAAGACAGCAAAATACAAATCCAGCATCACTATAAGAAAAACAACTCAAGATACACATCCTTTGAAAAGACTATCCAAAGATTATAAATGGTAGCATGTTTAGATTTTAATCTCCACATTGTCAGTATTTACATAGTTAAAAGTTTGATTGGCAAGCCAGGATCACAGTTGCAAAAAATATTCAATGGTTCCATATTATCAGGCTTCACCTTTGTCGATATAATTTTTAACTGCTTGCTTTATATAAATCACATTTTGTACTGATGGAAACTCACCATTCCCAAACTCTAAGGCTTTTATCATCAGATGTGCTCACAAATCTCCTATTCTCATCCACAAAAACGATGGTGTTGACAGCTCCCAAATGCCGATCATATTCCTGCACAATTTCTCCACTTCGAATGTCCCACTGTATATCAGGCAAGAAAAAAGGTAAAGACAGAAGTAGAGTGGATTTATGAAAGACCATAATTCTGGAAAGTGGAGAAGGAGAAGATCTTCAACATGATGTTTTTATAAATGTAAATTTTTCTAAGAATGGTGCATCAGCCGTCCCTAAAAGTAGCAAACATTAAATGAGTAATATTAGCTTATTAACTTATTCCATCCCCTTATACAACATAAAGCTTAGGAGTCTTAACAAAATACTGTGAAAAACTTACTTGCACAATCTTCTTATCAGACATCCCAGCCACAAAGAGATTTTGCTTATCTTCATCAGGATTGAATTTGACACAATAAGGTACTTTTCGGTTTGTAAATCTTGATATACACTGTCCTAAAACCAAAGACTCAAATTAAATAGGTAAAATAAATTTGACCACTTAAAGATGACTGTGAGATTAAGATCTAGAGGTCACCAGCTTAATAAATTTTGAAGAAGGGCTGCCTGCTTGCTCTTTACTGTAAACTACATTTGTTCTTTTTCACAGATTTTTAATGATTAAAAATAATTTTTTCAAAAGTAAATCTGCACTACCAATTGTAGAATAAATAAATTATAACTTCATTCATATAATGGAATAGTGCAAGCAATAAAAAAGATCAAACTATTGGTATAAGCCATGAGGGACTCTCAGACATTATGCTGGAGCTAGAAACAAAAGAGAAAAAATGGTATGATTTCATATATAAGAAGTTTAAGAAGAGGAAAAATGAATCTGTGATGACAGAAGTGGTTACCATGGTTACTGGGAGTGGGCACAGACTGGAAAAGGGCATAAGAAACCTTTACTGAGTGCTGGAAATATTCTATATCTTGATCTTGGTGGTAGACAACTGCATAGGTATGTTTACAAAAAAAAAAAAAATCACTGAATATTTAGGCACTTCATACATTTTACTGTATGTATATTTTATCTTGATTTTTAAAAGAACCTGCAAAATGGTAGTCTCTCAGCCTTGGCTACACGGTACAATCATCTAGTCTATACACTGTACCAATTACGTAAATACCTCTGAAGGTGGGACTCAGGTATCAGTAACATTAAAGCTCTTCAGATGATTATAATGTGTGGCCAGAACTGAGAACCACTGCTAAAGTGCTGAAGAACATGGGCTTTGGCATCAGAGAGAGCTTCGTTTGAAACCAAGTCTGCCACTTACTAGCTGTGTGACCCTGAAAAAGTTAGCTCTTTAAGCCTCAGTTTCCGTATCTATAATCTAATAATAGTACTTACCTCATAGGGATAAATTAAGATCGAAGGAGATACTGAATATCAATGCTTAGCAATTATGCCTATTAGATGACGTTTAATAAATATTAACTATTATCATTACCCTTCAAATACAGTAAGGGTAATGATAATAAGACAATAAGATAATAAGATGATTTTTCTAATTACATAAAATTATACTAGCCACAACATATTAATGTGAATCAATTAATAAGCAGCAATTAGTATGGCTGTGAATATATAAAACCAACTGGCCTGTGAAAGTTTAGACCTACATTTTAATCAATTTGTGCAAACACATTTAATTTTGTTCATTAGACATTTATTGCACTTCTGTTATGTGCAGTGCACAGTGCGAGATGATGTAGGGGAACAGAAAGATCAATTAGATGGCCTATACAAGATTTTGACTTTGCTTATCTGTCAATATGTTTGCTTTATAAACTCTATCTGGTGGAAACAAGTTTCACAGTAAAACAGCTACTTATGCTCAGTTTCAACTCTACAAATGTATTCTGTGATATTTGCTGACAGTGAATGGTAAGAGAATCAGCAGTTAGAGAAGGTGCCATTTGGCCACAGAAGACTACTCACACCATTTCATACATAAACGATAACTTGTAAGATGAATATGTATTAGCATAAGTGAACTCTTACCTGTCTCAGTGTCCCAGAGCTTAAGATACCTGTCATAGGCTGCGCTGAGGAACTGTGTTCCTGCAGTATTGAAGCAAATATCCCTAACAGCCTTACTGTGACCTAAAGGTGGAGTCAACAGAAACAGCAATGAGGTGAAGCATCATATCTTCTCTTAAAACATAAACACCATAAAGAGACACAGCACTAAGCAGTGGTTCTCAGCTGTGAGTCAAGATCACTGGAATGCCACTGCCTGATTTACTGACTTAGAATATGTTATGTGTGGGCTTCAGAATGTGGGCGTTTTTTTTCCCCTTGAAGAAGCTCCTCAGGTGATTCTGATGCATAACATCTTGGTTAAGAACCAAGAGAAAAGGTTTAACTTTTCTTTTAAGTCTGTCATAGCAATTTCTTAATATGCAGTACATACAAGTGACGACTAGCTAGCCAAGAATTTATGAATTTAAAAGACCAATTATTGCCAGTGAAAGAAATGGCTGCTGGAATTTTGGAGGTTCACTCTCAGACTGTTCACCAGGCTGCAAGTGAAAACAAAGTGACCTAAACCTAAAGCTCAGGAAACTGTAGCCCTTGTTCAATAATTGCATATTTCTGTGATCATATTACCAAATTTCATAGAAATTGATTCAGAATGTAGGAGACTTTCCAAAAACTATTATTAGCTTGCATTGGTTTTTTATTTTTGAGACAGGGTCTCACTCTGTTGCCCCGCCTGGAGTGCAGTGGCTGGATCTCAGCTAACTGTAAACTCAACCTCTCTGGCTCAAGCGATCCACCCACCTCAACTTCTCGAGTAGCTGGAATTACAGGTGCACATCACCACGCCTGGCTAATTTCTGTATTTCCTGTAGAGACAGGGTTTTGCCATGTTGCCCAGGCTAGCTTCTATTGTTTTAAGATGATGTTTTGACAATACACTAATTTTAAGGTGCTGATTACACTTTACTTAAAAATGAATATTGCCAGACCACTCAACTCTTAAAAGTTACAGGGAAAAATAAAATGTGGCTAAACAAAAGCAAAAATGTTCCACCCCACCATGACCAAGACACATACAATTGTGCAAAATGAGCACGGCACAAATTGTTAACCACATGCAGCAGCTCTAAACCATCACCTCCAGTGAACTCTCATCAGGAGGTATGTGTCATGGCAATTAGCCATCCTTTTCTACAGCCGGAGTCCCAGTCAGAGCTGCTATCATCTCCCTCAGGAGGAAAATTTCAGTTTTCCACAGAAAAATGGTCTGTCAGTACAGGGGAGACAGATGCAGACCAAATCCACTCTATCTGACGGAGACATTTTGTTCCCCTGTACACAGCTAAGAGCCCTCCACAAGTCTTCCTTTAGGCTGCGGTGTCATCTTAGGCAGAATTAATTTGTACAGGGAGGCCCTAAAATCATAAAGCACTGCCGAACAGACTCCCACTTTCATCTAAAAACAGAGCCACTAAGAGTCACACCGTTTCAATGTGGTACAGTTAAATCTGGAAAGAGTAACTAGCCTTCACATGAAATTTGACAAAGACAATAAACCTTTCTCTACCAAAAAGGCTAGCTTGTCACAAAGCTGTCCTCCCTTTGGCCTTCTTTCTTTCTTCAAGGAGTTCTCTCAATCTCATCCTTTTTTTATGCTTTAGCTGCCAATTCTCAGTCTCTCTTCAAAGCTCAACATTTGGCTATTTAATTGCTTACTGGACATTTTCACCTCAATATCCCAAAGGCAGCTCAAATTTGGTATATCTAAAACCTCACCATCATCTTATGTTCCTTCTTGGTGAATGGCACATCATTCATCCAGTCTCATGGGAGTCACCCTAGATTCCTGTCTCACTGTGATCATTCACATGCCATTACTAAATCTCACTGACTTTAACTCTAATATGTCTTCTCTCTCTGCTGCTTTGGTTCAGACTCTCATCATCTCTAAACCAGACCTATGAAATAACTGTGTAATTCATTTCCCTTCCTCCAGGCTTGCCCTACCAAATCATCCTGCGTATTGCCATTTGATCTTCGTAAACTTCAAATCATGTTGCTTTCCGGAAAGAGCTCTTTAATGGTTCCCCAATGCCCTCACAACAGAGGCTAAACTCTTTATTAATGGCACAGGAGGTCTTCCACGCTCTGGTCCCTCTCTTGCTACTTTTCTCTGCTTTTGTTTCTCACCATCCCCCATACTCTGACAATCCTGAAATGTATGTGGATCCCCTCAGCAGCACGCTGCCTCACGCTACTTTTGTTTTGCATCTGCTGCTCTTGCTTCCTAGTTCTCTTTCTTTGTCTAACTGGGGACACTGACTCCTCCTTCCAGATTCAGCTCAAGTCTATGAAGACTTTACTTCCTATCAGTGTAGTAAAATTACTGTCGATTCTTCCCAGATTTATGTTGGAGAGAAAAGAAGCATTACCAATAAATGTTCTCAGACAGCGCCGGTCTCCATAAACCTCCCATAGCTGGGGTAGAAAAAAAAAACACATAGAAATGTTACATTTAGTAAAGGTCTTTCAATCAATAACACCAGCCCTTTGCTGGTTACGTGTGTGCATATCTGTGTGTGTAAACACACAGCTTCAATCATTAAATATTAAACACTGAATATCATTAAATATTGCTTGGTGCTGCCAGTTTGTGTTATACTATTTGGAACACACACACACACACACACACAGTCACATACACTCAAAACTAAAGAGTTTTAAAGATGTTTACATCAAAATATCAAGAAACTTAACTATAGATGGAGTTAATTCAAGTGAGTTTTCATTTTCATATTGCTCTTTTCTGTTTCATACATTTTCTAGGAGGAAAAGTTTCTACTTTTGTAGCACTACAAACGACTTTTAAAGGAATTAAATATTATTAAAACTGCCATGTATACCAACTTTTAAAGGAATTGTGTTATTAAAACCGCCACTTATATATTTGATACTGAAAGGCTTTTTTGTTTAGTTTTCTGAGGTAACAAGTATTACAGAAGCTATAAGAAAATGATGATCTAGACTAAAATAAAAGGTTCATAATTCTCAGCACATCTAAGGTAGATTAATACAATAGCTTCAAGGCTAGCTTTATTCTTGACTGCCTTGAATCCAATCCTCAACAATGTTACTAGCACTCTAAAATAGAAAGCATTTCCTTGCCACCAGTGCCAATATGACACAGTCTCAGTTACTGTAGCATACTAGGAAAGGACCTCTGAGACCTGGTTTCTTGCCCAAGACTGCAATCATTCCTTGTCTCTTCGATGTTACGCTCCAGCAAGCACAAAACTGTTATTTTCAGCACACACTATGCTGATTCATTCTCTTCACTCTTTTCAGGCAAACTCTACTCCTGTTTCCTTATTCTTTACTTATTTAACCTTCTTACTAAGGTATGCTTCCTCTTTGAAACCAGCATATCTTGTGCTTACCTCTATAATGATCATTTATATCATAATAAAATGATCATCCTAAGGGGGAGGGACAGTGCCTTCATAAGCTTTTACTTTCAGTCCCTTCCACATAATAGAATGTTTATAGAAGTCAACTAAATTGAATTCTATGCTTTTTTGGTTGGTCAAAGAAAAGACCAACATCTCAATTAACATGGCTTGTACCAAGTAAAAGTAAAATGGGGGTTTTTACTCCAAAATGTTGGCCTGTCATTTTAAGCTATTAGAGACAAATGCCTAAATGGTTGCTCTTATCAAAAGAAGTGGCCTTTTTCATTGTTAATATCCATGAATTATTTACAAATGATAAAATTTTAATGACTCAACTTTTGAAGCCCCAAGAGCACTATAGCGTTGGTATTTATTGAACCATCATAATGGTCCAGACAAAGAGAAGACACAAAACCGGTAAGAACTATCCTTTCAGATTTAAAAATTTTTTCAAGACATTCTGCATATTCAGGTTGAGATGCATTGGCAACCGAGTTTTTTCTACCACACATTCTACAACTGAACAGAAGCTAAAGATGGAGCTTCCCAAGACTAGAAAAGGTGAAAGAAGGGGCTGGGAGCAGTCCTGTTACTTGGTTTCTACTAGTATTTAGAAGAAAACGGATGAATTACATTTTCTACTTTCTAAAAATAGGATTTCTATCATATGTCCTCTCTATTTCATAAGGTTTGGAGAAACAAATAAACTACTACATATACAAAATCTCTACAATGATTAGTGATTAAATATTTGTATGTCCAAAGCCAACATGATTGGATTACATTCTCATCAGTTTTCCAGGCTTAAAAAGCGGCCTAGCCACTGCAGGCGCCTGTAGTTCCAGCTATTTGGGAGGCTGAGGCAGGAGAATGGCGTGAACCCAGTAAGTAGATGGAGCTTGCAGTGAATTAAGATCATGCCACTGCACTCCAGCCTGGGCGACACAGCAAGACTCCATCTTAAAAAAAAAAAAAGCGGGGGGGGGCTAGCTAATTGGACCACAGAGCCATATGGAATTTATGTTTGGAAGTAGTTCATAAATTGTTGCATTTACAGGATCTAAGAGAAAATAATTAGCTTCTAATTGCCTAACAAACCCAAATTTTTTTATAATTAACCAAACAGATTTAAACAAAGAACTAGCTTTGCAGCACTCCTACTCTGTTACTGAAAACTCACCTTAATTTTACAGTCCATGGAACAAGACAGCAATAAATGGCCAGAGAGAGGAAACAATCTGACTGCACTGACGCCCTATAAAAAGGTATTACAGTTATCAACCAGAAGCATTCAAAAGATCAGCTCAAATGAAGCATCAAGAAAAGACAGTATATATTAAGTACCCTAATTTGCTATTTTTCATTCCAAAAATCACACCCCAGAATAACTTTCATTAGCATTCCAAGAGCAGACCTTATTGACACCAAGCTTTTGAAGATTTTTTTTTCTAACCTTTAATATTGAGTTCCTCACCCAATGGAATCCTGAGTCAATCAAATTGCTACTGCCCCCACTTCTCTTCCTTTTTTTACTTAGTCCCTTTGCTCTTTGCAAAGAGTTGGAAATTACAAGTTGGAATGGTGCATATGACAAAGAATATCAACATCAAAAATTTTCATGTACCTTATCTCTGCATTAGTTTAAAAATTACCATAGTTTATAAACCAGGGCGCATCTAATCTCTGAAGTGTGATAACCACAGAGCTAAAGCAAAATTACTGAAACTAAGCAGGAGACTTGGTGCTAGTACCAGCCCATTACTCACTGATTTGGTGCCCAAAAGGAAGAAGATTGTAGCAGGAGCTTATGGGGAAAGGCCTGGCTACAAGGATGCAGAACACTAAATCATGAACGCTATATCATGGCCAATTCAGATGGCTTGAAGACTGATTAGTCACCTGTGATGGATGTGCGGGCACCTCCAAAGCCTAACCCAGAATTATATTCAATTTGACTTCCCTGCACCTTTACCAGAAACACTAAATGTTCCACATCAACAGCTAAAACTGTATGTTGGCTTCATTATAATAGCATTACAGCAAACAGAAACAACCAACTTGCTTACCTTCGTGTGTCCAGACCACACATGAATTTGTTTTTTGGGAAGATAACACTTCTCAGGTGGCATAGTTGACCGTAGATTAACACCAACATCCTGAGGTATGTGAAGATAGGACCTGCCTTGATAGTCATACATTTCTTTAACTGAAACAAAAAGGCAAAGAAAATCAATAAACAAATACAACTCATAGTCATGAAACCTATATTTTTAAAATCACATTTTTTTCACAGGGATATCTTCCATATTAAGGTTCAGGTAGTAACACTCCAATGATGTAAAGATCAAGAGTCAGCTAAGATATAAGTGCTTAAAATAACTGCTATCATTTACAACTAGAGGTAGTATTTCGAAATTCCTAAATACCCAGAGATTATAGACCTTTAGATAAGATCTATACTTCTTTTCATCACTTACACATCTTAGTAATCTATAAAGACTTCACTGTGGCATAATTATAGCAAGGGAAGATAATACTTGGGCCTTGTGAGTCACTGGTAAAGAAGCAGAAGTAAAACAGGTTAAGAAGGAAGTTAAAACAAAACAAAATATATCAACTATCCTTTTCCCATGCTTTCCTCTTTTATGCCCTTCCAGTTCCCTTTCATTTATCTTTTCCTGCTTTCATCACAAATTTTACAATAAGGTCACCTGTGAGAATTAAATGACATACTGTATATAAAGCAATTAGCAACATGCCTGGCACAGAGTAAGTACTCAATAAATGTTATTATATTATTGTTATTATAGTTTTGAGCACCATAGTACTGAATAGACTTCTTGGAGATAAAACTGAAGCTTGAAGAATGAAATATGGCTTCATCAAACTTAAATATCTGATGTAATATAACATTAGAATAAGCAACACTGTAAGCACTAAGTTATTCTTTACAGTTTTAGATAATCACTATGTAAGTTCCTAAAATATAACTAATTATTAACTAACAGGTACATTCTAGAATACTTATGATTTATTTTGGTGAATATGCATTTCCTTCTACAAGTCAAAATAAGTATGAGAGCCTTAATCTCCATCTTTTCACATGAAAATCCAAGTTTATTCTGAGTATAGCTGAATAACGGTTATGAACTGTGTGGATACCTGAGTATTTGGCTTCATTAAAAACAGTTAAAATGACTGGGGCACTATTAATACACCAAAAGAGTCAACTTTATCTTACGAAAGAATAGACTGTGGACTATTCAAGTTTCTTCTTTATCTACCATTTAATAAAATTCATTAACACTTGGAAAAAAATTATCTGTGGCTATGATTAATCATGCTATTTTTTCTCCTTTATCAGTGTACAGAAGTTTGCTGTAATTTCCTTGGGATACAAATTGTCTAACATAATTATACTCAACATAATGATTTTATGACAGCTGATAGTAAGGGTAATGATCCTGTATGAACAGCTAACAAAGTAAATATAAAGGTTTTTCATAAAAATGAAGATGTATAAAAAATATGTTACCATGTAAGATTGTCTTCTCCTCCCCAGGTTTCTCTTCTTCCTGCTTTCCTTTTTTCTGCCTCTTTGCTGTGATTTCATCCAATTCTTTTTGTTCTTCCTAAGAAAATTAAGGAGTGAAATTTAAAGTGAATGTTCTAGAACCTCATTATACCTAAAGTTGGTGCTATAAATTATTTATAATGAGGTCTACATATCTGGTCCAAGTATGTTCCCAGGATAACAAGCTCAACACTTTTTTTTTTTTTTTCTGAGACTGGCTCATGAAGACAGTGAGATTAGGAGGTGAGGAAGGGAATGGCAGAGCATTTACTTTACAAACTTTATAGTAGTTTTAAAAATACACATAGAGATAAAATTTGTTTAAAATTTTAAATAAATTCATAAATCAATAAAACTTCTAATCAATTCTAGTGTCATAGAAGGCTGATTTTGTAGTTACTATCTGAATGTCTAGTATCAGAAGAACAGCTACCATGGCAGCCTAATAGCAATATCAAGGAAATCTTTATGAAAATTGTTCAATATTGTAATTCAATAAAAAAGCATGAGAGAAAACAAATCAGCAAAAAAGGTAAATAAAAATATTTCAAAGAAAAATAAATTTTATTGTATATTTTCAATCAACTAAAGGCAGAAAAATTTTGATGAGTCATTTGGTTCTCTAAGGAAATCTCAAGTTTATCAATGTAGATATCCTTCATAGAGATACAGCATATACCTGAACTGACAATTAAAAACATCAAAGCTTACTTCTGAAGGTTTGGCTACATCTTTTTCATCCACATATTTTGCCCATGGTCCCAAGAAACCATCAATATTGGATGCATCATTTTCTTTAAACTTTTTCCTCTTTTCTGTTTTCTTCTGACCAGTTTCAAATACAGTTAAACCTACGGTAACCAAAAAAAAAAGAGAGAGAGAGATGTACATTTTCTAAAGAAATATGAACAGATGTTTATTTTTGTTTTATATGGTTAAAGAAAGATGATTGTTCAAGTGACCACAGAGTCATTAAAAAACAAACAAGCTACACGAATCTACCACATACGCTGACTCATGCTACACAAAAAGGGATTCAACCTTCTGGGCAAAGATACTTAAAACTAATTCAATATTCTGCAAATTCTAATAGTGTATACTTGAAGAAGAGACCCAAATATGTGTTCCTACAATGGCACACAAGCCTTTTATTGAATCAAAAAGCCGTGTCAGTGGATTTGTATGACTTTCTGGAAAAAACTGAGGAACTCATTATGGCTAAATAATGATAAAGTGACCTTTGGAAGCAAGAATAAACTGTAATTTATCATTTTAAAACTAAAACTAAATTACAGTAAGTACTTAATAACTTATCTTCACTTCACTTGTAATGCAAAAATGTAAATCAAACAAGGTTTCACCAGAAGTGGTACTTCTTCCAAGTGACTTCAGTCTCAACTTCACCTCTAGTATCATTAACGTTAACAGTAAAAGAAAAGGAGAAGGAGGCTGTTTCTGGTTGAGATTTTGATTTGATTAATAGGAGGTGGCATACTGTGTATAGTCATTAACCTGGAAAAAGAAAGGTTTGTGGAATCATAGTCACAAGTTAACTAAGAATCTAGCTACCTTTAGGTGGGACTTACAGAGGTCTAGTTCAAAGAAGAAATGTCTGCCTATAGTAATTCAGACTATGTTTTATAGCAAAAGCCTGTTAAAATTCTATTTTAACAATAATCTAGCTCATGTACAGAGAGCAGCCTGATCACATAGGGTCTATAGCTACTAAGCAGAAGTGTCCCATGCAACCAGCAAATTACTTTTTTAACTGCATTTTATGGATACTACTCTAATGGACTGATGAGCCTTGTGACAAGTTAGCGTTTAGCGTATGATGTTTTGTCTTATTGTAAGTACAAAATGAATATGAATACAAACATACATTAAAACACATATTCAAATTCATTCTTCAAAGCTACTCTTCAAAGACAATCTTCACAGACTTACCAAATAAAGTATTTCTACTCTGTTAAAATGAAGCTTGACATAAATGTTGAGAAGTCAATTGCCAAAATTATCTATACATTAGTTATAATTTATTGAGTGATTTCTACAGGGTTGGCATGGTGCCAAGTATTCAAAATAACTCAAAGATATATGTACCATTATTTTTTCTACAAGGTTACACAACTAGTAAGTGGCAAAAGCAAGCTCTAAACTGTAACATTTCTGAACTATATTGCTCTAAACTGTATTGCTCCATTGTTTCAACTTAAAAAAAACCAAAAAAACCAAGTGCTAAATACTATTTTTTACTGTCTAATTAAAGTCACTCTGCAAGACACTAATTATAGATGTGTACATATTTGATATTAAATGTTTCAAATAAATTACCTTGATTTTTTTCAGCTTCTTCTACAGAACCAATATATTTAGCAGACACCTGATGATTATCTAATGAAGGGTCTAATGCATAACCTGAAAGGAAAAAAGTGAAAATTATTAACTCCATTTTGCTGTTTAAATTCATTTTATTATTATAATACAAATATACACATTTCACATTTTCTTTCCCAGATGTCAAAAATGATCTCTTTAACTCAGGACCAATCAGGACCAATCATTCTGCCCTGAGCTATATTGCTTCCTTTTTTTTTGAGACAGGGTCTCACCCTGTTGCCCAGGCTGGAGTGCAATAGAACAATCTTGGCTCACCACAATCTCTACCTTCCAGGCTCAAGCAATTCTCCTGCCTCAGCCTCCAGAGTAGCTGGGATTACAGGCATGCATCATTACCTCTAGCTAACTTTTTAATTTTTCTGGAGAGATGGGGTTTCACCATGTTGGCCAGGCTGGTCTTGAACTCCTGACCTCAAATGATCCACCGCCTTCGCCTGCCAAAGTCCTGGGATTACAGGCGTGAGCCACTGCTTTCGGCCCCTGAGCTATATTTCTATTTAGAACCCAAAGCTATATTTTTATATTTAGAACCATAATATGTTTCTTACAGGATGAATTTTGCACACTGACATTACATTACTAAGAGCCTCTCTGGCCAAGACATCAAACTTTAGTTTTAAATATTCTAAGAGCTTGAAAATACATGTACATGATGCATTTGGAAATCCAGAAACCATTTTCCTTTTCTTATTGGTAATGGATATTGCAGGCAGGGCTAAGTTTATCAAATTATATAAATTATTAAATAATAAAAAAGGGTAAGAAGATTACATAAAATCTAGCTATTATTTTGAAAATACCATTCGCAGTAAGGACAGTCTTCCTTCCCAATCTTAATATATTTCTATTTCATCAATCATTCTTTATATTTCCTTAAGAGAAGGAAGGAAGGATATCTACCAACATATGAATGCACTTCTTAAATTAATTATAGAGTATGTAGCTACATACAAATGTGGTCCTCCGTGGTCTACGGCAATTCAAGGAAAGAAAGTCTACCTAAGTTAGCTCAACTCAGTTTTTTTCTCAAGTGGGTGTGCTAGCACAATAAATGTTTGGTAACATTAGTCTGGTATACTCACAAGAGTGCTAGATCACTGATCAGTTTATGGCCTACAACTCGTGTGTACAATAACAGAATACATAAAAAAGTACTAAGCCCATTTTTTTTTAAAGGGTACATCCTAGTAGATAGACTTATTATTTTCATTTTTCATCCAAAGTAGTCCCAGCTACTTGGGAGGCTGAGGCAGGAGAATGGTGTGAACCCAGGAGGTGGAGCTTGCAGTGAGCTGAGATCGCACCACTGCACTCCAGCCTGGGCGACAAAGTGAGGCTCCATCTCAAAAAAAAAAAAAAAGAATATAGGGAACTTCTTTTGGGGAACAAGAAAAAGATTCATCATGAAACATGCTCTTTAAACAAGCTAAGGACATAAGTGCTCAACTCACTCTCATGATATGCTAGAACAGAACCAACCACCTAGCTATTAGCTGATTTGCACATAGATTTTTTTTTCAGCATTAAAATATGTTCTCAGCCAGAGGAGAGAGCTTGGTGGCAGAAAATCAGCTTTGGAGTAGAATCTCTGAAATCACAGGTTCAAATCCCATGAGTTATTTTATCTTTAATCTCTTTGATGTACAGAATAGTGTTCTGTACATAACTATTTCCAAAAAATGAGACTTTTATAAGCTCATACCAAGTTAAAAGTTCCCATTTCAATAATAAAAAACATATCCGGCTAGAATGTAAATTTCTACTTTGAAAGGAGACTTAACATCTACATAAATGGCATTTCGTGATGTGTCCGGAGGGGTGAAGGAGTAGACAGAGAGGGAAGAGGTATCTCTGGTCCTTGTCTCTGTGTAAGTACCATTCCCCAACTCATCTGGCCATAGTCTTGTAACTCAGAAAAATAAGTTATGCTTTCCTCTTGCTCCGCATCCTCTGTGGTAAAAATCTTTACTGCCATACCACCAACCCCACTACTGACTTCCACCCCCGGGGATTAAGAAACGATATTATTTTCCTTTTACAAATAAGAGTTAAATATTTGGCCTTACGTCTTACTACAAATCAGCCAGTGATAGAACAAGATCTAACTCTCACACTACTAAATTTCAGTCCAATTTGTTTTCTCACTATCTTGTGTCTCAAATAAGTGATTATTTCTGCATTTCTTAAATATTCTTATCTATCTTTCTGAAGCTTATTTTCCCTTTTATCTTTTTAATGGAGTTAACGTCTACTTCCTTCCCTTTGGTACTCTTATTTGAAATGGCTATCATATTGATTTTATTATTATACCCTTCAGATAATCAAACTAATAATAATTATTAAAACTAATTCCATTAGGTAAATGAAAGGGACTATAAACAATTTGCAAAACAATGGTCATAAATAAACGAAAAAACCTTCGACCTCACTGGTAGTCCGGAAAAATCAAGTTGCAGTAAAGAAATACAATATTTTAAGGATCTAGAACTAGAAATACCATTTGACCCAGCCATCCCATTACTGGGGATATACCCAAAGGATTATAAGTCATGCTGCTATAAAGACACACGCACACACATGTTTATTGCGGCACTATTCACAATAGCAAAGACTTGGAATCAACGAAAATGTCCATCAGTGACAGACTGGATTAAGAAAATGTGGCACATATACACCATGGAATACTATGCAGCCATAAAAAAGGATGAGTTCGTGTCCTTTGTAGGGACATGGATGCAGCTGGAAACCATCATTCTCAGCAAACTATCACAAGAACAGAAAACCAAACACCGCATGTTCTCACTCATAGGTGGGAATTGAACAATGAGATCACTTGGACACAGGAAGGGGATCATCCCACACCGGGTCCTATTGTGGGTAGGGGTGGGGGAGGGATAGCATTAGGAGATATACTTAATGTAAATGACGAGGTAAGGGGTGCAGCACACCAACATGGCACATGTATACATATGTAACAAACCTGCACGTTGTGCACATGTACCCTAGAACTTAAAGTATAATTTAAAAAAAAAAAAAGAAAAGAAAAAAAAAAAAGAAGAGTAACAGCAACAACACACAGGAGTCATGCTTTCTCAATGAAAACCTCAAATATATAAACTGATGCCCTGTTGTTTTCTTTTTTTCCCTTTTCTAACAGAAAACTTAGTATACAGAAATAAAATCCTAAAAGTCTGAAAAAAAAAGAAATATAATATTTTGATTATCAAGTAAACAAAGGAAAAACAATCATACGGATCTTTGATGAAGAGAAATAGGGCTGGGCATGGTGGCTCAGGCCTGTAATCCCAGCACTATGGGAAGCCGAGGCAGGCAGATCACTTGAGGCCAGGAGTTTGAGACTGGTCTGGCCAATATGGTAAAACCCCATCTCTATGGGGGAAAAAAAAAAAAAAAATTAGCTAGGCGTGGTCATTCACGCCTGTAATTCCAGCTACTCAGGAGGCTGAGGCACGAGACTTGCCTGAACCCCAGAAGCAGCGGTTGCAGTGAGCAGAGATCCCACCACTGCACAGCCTGGGTGACAGAGTGAGACTCTGTCTCAAAAAAAAAAGAGAAGTAGGACTTTTATACTCTGTGGTGGTAGAGTAGGTTTAGAGAATTCTTTTGGAAAGCAATTTGATAATATATAGCACAAGCTTTTAAAACACATATTATTTTACCTACTTTTGGGAACTCATTAAGAAAATAATATAAAACAATATAAAACCTGTAAAGTTTTATGTACAAAAATATTCACTACCACATTTTAAAAAGCACTTTGTAGCATAACATATACATCACATTTTTAATAGTGAAAACTGGAACCAAACTGAAATCTAAGTGATACAAGTAATATATTTAAAAATTATATCTTTGTTCAGTAGACAGTTTTTAAAAAATCATTTTAAAATGTTATTAAATGATTTCAAATATTGAAGTTAAAACTCATGTTAATAATGACTATTGTGAGACTAAAAGTATTTATTTAAAATTCTATTTTCCACTTCTATAGGTGGGTGTAGAGAAAATTCTAGATGAAAGTAGAACAAAAGGAAGAAACTTCATTGAGAAGCCCCAAGTAAGACTGGCAGGGGAGCAGACAGAAAACAAGATGAAATTCACGTAACCACTGAGGGACTGAGAAGTCAGGAGAAATACGATAAATGCAAGCTAAAAGCAAAACTGTAGAGTGAGTAACTCGGATGACACAGTAAATGAGACCATTTTCAGTGATAAGGACTCTACAGGTGGGCTCTATGAAAAACTAACTGTATTGTAGAATACAAATCTTCCAGAAATAATTCACTGGGATTCTAACAATCTTACAATATTGAAAAATGGGAAGAAAATTAAAATAAATGTTTGTACTATATTCCAGCAGTGATAGCCCAGGGTTATGAGATTGAGGTAAAACTGAATTCATGTGTCACCTCCTGTATATCTGTTAGATAACACTACTACGAGGGGTAAGAAAGGTTTGCTCCCTTGCACTTTGCAAATGAGGGAAGGTAACAGAAAGGTCTCACAGCCTTATATTTCAGGTGGAAGGGTTAAAAAACAAGAGCAACAGGAACAAAAGTTGATAGGAAGCTGGTATAGGAATTACTATCAGAAGTCAGACAAGAACTTTCTATAAGAAAATTATAGGACAAACTAATAGAAGTCATATACTTGTTCACTGCCTGGGAGCAAAGAAAAAAGAGACAGTGTTAAAACTGAGGTTTAAAGAGACAGTTGTTAAAGCTTAGATAAGGCTGATTTTATTTATTAAGTTTACTTATTAAGTTTACTTGAACTTAATAAACTGTCTCTTTAAACCTTGGTTTAAACCTCGATCTTACTAAGTTTACTTGAACTTAATAAATAAAATCGATCTTATCTAAGATCTATCATAAAGGAGACAAACCAAAATTTTCTGAGTTTTGTAACTGGCCATTCCTTTTATTTTAGGCTGCCTAATATACTATAGCCCCAAATTCATTTTTTGTCTTTAACTCAATAGTTCAACCTGTGTCCTAGCTCTCTACTTCCTAGTGGGAGAGGCAAAAATCTCCCACTTTATTTTATTTTAGGCTGCCTCATATACTATAGGCTGCCTAATATACTATAGGCTGCCTTTATTTTAGGCTGCCTAATATACTATAGCCCCAAATTCATTTTTTGTCTTTAACTCAATAGTTCAACCCATGTCCTAGTTCGCCACTTCCTAGTGGGAGAGGCAAAAATCACCAGATACTTCAAACAAACAAACAAACAAAAAACACAACCCATTTCTGAAACCAGGTCTAAAGCCAGCTGAATAGTTTTAAATGCTTATTCTTGTTATAAGGTAATTTAAGAAGAAAAGTAGGTATCAGTATAAACTTACTTGGACTTTTTTTTGTTTTGTTTTAAAGGAGACAAGAGAACTAAATTATTGCTTAAGGTCCTTCTAAAGTTGAAGACAGTAAGTCGTTAAAAGTCTCTTATTATAGGTTAGAATATAACAAAACCATGATGTAACAGTTTATTTTTATGTGCTGCACATTACTTTAGATTTACATGGGACCCCTTACACAAGCAAGGGGTATAATGTATTTGTAACCATTTTATTGGACTGGAAGTGTCATAGAACTGCTTTGGGTGATTTAAGTGGTATATAGTCTTGGCTGTGATTTTTGGTACATTCTAAGTCTATTACAATCTTACCATGGTGAAATATGATCTAACACATGATAATCCTTTATACAAGCAGTTTCCATGCACATTAAATTTTTAAAATCCCACCACTGACAGGATGTAATTATTTTACATAGTGAATTTGTGACTATTCTCTTTCCTGACACCCTTCAGTGATCAAGAGAAAGCATTTCCAAGATAAGATCTGAGAAACAGAGTAAAGTTAAATAGCCCATAATAAGATAAAAAAGTAATCTCTTAACACTATCTTTTCATTTGCCAACTTTAATAGCAATCTACATGTAATGGACATAAAATAACAAGTGTCCATTACCCAGAATGCAACAACAAAGAGCATTCTGGTTAAGATCACGAATATTTCCAGTACTCAGAAATCACAGTGGATTTACAATGACAGCTAAAAATATAAGTTCACCTTCCCATTTACATAAATATTTAAGGATATCTATAAGAAGGCATACTATCCTTTTTGAAGGAATCCAATGAATTTTAAAAGCCAGAAGACAAAACAGATTAACACACACAGATCACACTTCTAATAAAGCCAAAATTGAAACTGTTTTAAGTCTTATTGCCTTACCATATGTTGCAAAAGTTCTCCTTTGCTGCTCAAACATGAAATCATTGATATGAGCTGGTTCGGCATATCCAGAAAGCATGTTTCTAGGTGCGGCCATTTGCTGTGTCCTAAAGGGATTTTCTGGTCCAAACTGCAATGTCACAAGAAAAAAATAAATAAATAAATAAGAAAGAGACAAAAGTTCTGAGTATATGGAAGTTAGAATTACTGGAATAACTGTACAATTTTTTTCAACTATAAATCACCAAGGGCCTATTAACCTATCTGGGAACACATTAGCCTGATATGGTGCAGTGCAGCTGGGCAATGGCTGAATAGCACCATTTGTCAGCCCCTGGGACAGAAGGAGAGGAACCCCTCTCACTCAAATCTATATGTAGCTATTTATTTCAAGAGCTCAGTAGCCACATGTGGTTGTCAGCTACTACATTCGCATTATTGCAGAAGTTCTACTTCACAGTGATGCTCTAGATAACTGAGAGTTACTATAGTTGGCCCAAACCATGATTGCAGGGATTTGGGGTGACTTTTATATCAACAGCGGCACTGTGATACAATTTTTTTAACAAATACATGTTTGTTTTCCACTAGTTCCTCAAAGCGGAAGACTCAGAATACTCAATATTTACCACAGTGCCTGGCATATAGAAAGTACTAAGAAGGAAAAATTAATCAGAATTCCATTGCGGGTGGAGGATAGAAAAACAGACAACAAAATAAAGTGCTTGAAAAAGTCCCTAGGAAAAGACATTGCAAATGTCAATAAAATATCTCCACTCTGAAGTCACACTTTGAAGAGTCACATTACTTGTTTTATACCAAATAGTGCCATTTTTATCTGTTTATAACACTTTTGCGTTTCCAGAATGCTTTTCCAAATGCTATTTAATTTGATCTGTACATAAATTCTGACAAGTTAGAGAAGTATTCTCCTTTTTGTGTTGCAAATGAAGAAAAAACCCCCAAAGGCAATGTATTTTACCTGCCCTAGGGTCAAGAGTTTTATTAATTGGCAGAAGCAGGGCTAGAACAAACCATAGTCAAGCATTCTATTACATCATAAAGTTCCTTAAATGCACAATCAGAGCCTCTAAGTTTTAAAAAACTGGGTAAAAAATTATCAGAATATGTCAAGTGCTATTAATTTAATGCTATTATAAAAGGTACTGGGAAAACCCAACTCTTTTTTTTGTTTGTTTGTTTTAAAATAAAGAATCAAATGAGCTTCCCATTTTGAAAAGGGCAAAAAAAATAGCATATTTTTATTTGAACTCCGTAAGACCCACTGTCATGATGAATTATTTTGACATTAGAACACTGTAGGTCATTACCGTTAGAAACCATCCCTTCTATGATATATTTCCAGAGCCACAAATAAAAATTACTCATCTTCGCTTAACCAGTACACTGCATTCTCTAGATATCAACATTATACTATGTATGAAAATCTGAATTTAAATGTTAGCTGTGCCTTACTTTTTTTTGCTTTAGAAGAAAATAAATTGCTACAAGATTCCTATATATTGACAGCTTCCATTTATATGTTTAAAATGATTCAATTTTAAAATACCTGATTTATATACAAAGCTTTTATTAGTATATATTCTTAATTATAATGGATAGCGCAAGACTTTGCAGCCTATATTAGTCCTTCCTGTGCCTGCTGATGGGTGAAATATGTTGGGGAAAAAAATCTAGATTGCTGAATGCTGGAAGTAGCAGTCAACTTCATTCAGTCATGAAATTTATTACAAAAACAGGAGCAGCCATAAAATTACAGATAACAGAATGATTTAAAAGTTTCCTAGATGCTCTACCCGGTACAGTCAGCTATCATCCACAGAGCAGCATCTGCTATTTCTGGACAGAGGTGGCGTGGAGGGGGCATGGTGGGGAATCTAAAATGATAAAAATCCCCACTGTCCTTAATTGTTACTCCCATCACATATAACAGATGACCAATCATTGTGCTTTAAGTAACTTTCCATTTAAAAAAAGGAGACTACAATTTCCATATTCTTATTTAATTCAGATTTTACTAAAAAAGAAAGAATAATTCTTCTACAGGCCATACATACCAAATTAGCTCCACTTTTTAAAGAAAAAGTGTCAGTGTAAAAGAACTGTGATTTCGATACAAAGACAGATCCATATATTAAAGCTATGTATTATATAAGGTACTATACCTAAAGCAATCTAAAAATTTACATGTGCCTATGTCTCATACAGATTTAAGCTGAGGCAAAAAAAAAAAAATCTTCTAGTGATACAGGGAATCAGTGGGAGGAAGATTCATCTACTGGTAGCTATTGGAGCTGACTTCAAAGACATTGAATGTTAACAGAGGAAGGCAGAGAACACTATTTAGCAGGACTCAGCTCTTCCCAGTTACTCAAGATACGTCTCTCAGATGTTCTTGGTCCCTGTGAATATGCAACTCTTTTAGTTCTGGAACAACCATTAAAAAAATACAACAGAGCATATAGAAAACACACAAATCTGATTTGCAAACACTTCCTTTCAAGTTTTGGTAGTTAACTAAGTTTAAGAGTAAATCTGGGTTCAAGTGATTTTATAACAATATGTAAGTAAATACATAACATAAACATGAATGTATAATATATTTAAGTTCATACGCATATTTAACAATTTTTAGCTAAAACAATAACGAAGAACAATATAGTAAATTACAATCTCCTTATATAAAACATACACATTTAAGCGAGAAAATGTTTGCAAACCATACATCTCATAAGGGGTTAATATCCAAAACACACAAGGAACTCAACTCAATAGCAAGAAAATAAATAACTTGATTAAAAATTGGCAAAGGACCCGAATTTCTCAGCATTTCTCAAAAGACATATAAATAGCCAACAGGGGCCAGGTGCAGTGGCTCACGCCTGTAATCCCAGCACTTTGGGAGGCCAAGGCAGGCGGATCACTTGAGGTCAGGAGTTCACGACCAGCCTAGCCAACATGGTGAAACCCTATCGCTACGAAAAACACAAAAAATTAAGCATGGTGGCGCATGCCTGGAGTCCCAGCTACTCAGGTGGCTGAGATGGGAGAATCACTTGAACCCAGGAGACAGAGGTTGCAGTGAGCTGAGATCACACCACAGCACTTCAGCCTGGGTGACTGAGCGAGACTCCGCTCAAAAAAAAAAAAAAAAAAAAAAAGCCAACAGGTATTTGAGAAAGTACTCAACATTACTAATCACCAGAGAAATGCAAATTAAAATCACAATATCATCTCAAACCTGTCAGAATAGATATTATAAAAACAATAAAGGGTAACAAGTGTTGGCAAGGATGTTCTGGAGAAAAGAGAACACTTGTACACTGTTGGTGGGAATGGAAATTAGTGCAGCCACTATGGAAAATGGTATGGAGGTTCCTCAAAAAATTAAAAATAGAACTACCATATGACCCCAGCAATTTCACAAATGGGTATGCATCCAAAGGAAATGACATAAGTATGTCAAAGAGTCAGTCTAAATGGCTCTCAATGTTTGAATGCATAAAGAAAATGTGGTAGGTCTGCACAACGGCATACTATTCTGCCTTAACAAAAAGGAAGCTTGTCATTTTTGACAGCATAGATTAACCTGAAGGGCATTATGTTAAGTGAAATAAGCTAGGGGGTGGGACAAGTATCACATGATCCCACACGTGGAATTCAAAAAAGTTGACCTCACAGAAGCAAAGAGTAAATGATTAGCAGGAGTTGGGTGGGTGGGTGGGGATGGAATGGGATGGAGGGGTTTTGGATGATGTTGGTCAAAGGATATACAATTTCAGTTAGACAGGAGGAATAAGTTCAAGAGATCTATTATACAACATGGTGACTACAGCTAATAACAACGTATTCTTGAAAAACAATAAGAGTAGATTTTAAGTGTTCTCACCAGAAAAAATGATCAGTACATGAAGAAATGCATATGTTAATTAGCTTAATTTAGCCATTCTACAATGTGTACGTATTTAAAAACACATTGTACATTGTAAATATATACAATTTTTGTTAACTAAAAAATTAATTAATTAAAAAATATGTAAGTACTAATTCAAATCACTACCCCCAAAGTATGTATGATATTCCCGAGGGAGGTAACTATCCTTAAACATCTGTCAACTGAATGAAGTAGTGGTTTACTTACAGGGTTAGGAGAAAAGCACTCTTAATTTGTGAAGATGCTGGTTGATAACTCTCAGAGATCTGATACTATTGTGGATCTCAAAAATCTTCAGTAGGTAGAGTATTGGTGAGTCAGAATTTTAGCAGCATATTATAACATTGCAGGAATTAAGACAATTTATACTACTAAAAAAGGGCTATATAAAATCATAGTTGTAAGTTCACATACAGAAAAATAACCCAAATTACGGAACAGACAGTAGTACACTAGATTGTTGTACATTTTTCATTCATATTTATTGTAGTCATTATTGTTCAAAATATTTATAAACAAATTTTAAGGTGAGAAGAGTCTGTTAACTTAATTATTTCCTGCAAATTAAGAGAAGATCCCCACGATTCAATTTCATTGGTGGAATATGTTCATCTTATAAGACATAAAAATATTAGTATGAGAAAATTTCATTAGTGCTGGTTCTATGACCTTTGGCCTCAGTTTCCTCATCTACAAAATAAAAGATCTGAGCTATATGATTTCTAACAGTAACTGGTGTTTTTTTCCTCTTAACTTTTATATTTTTTTCTATTCTGAAGTACTACTATTTTAAAGAGTCTGGAATTCTTCCTGAGACTTACGGATTTTATGGGGTTAGAGAAGCTAATTAATACATTTTTGTCTAAGCAGATTTAAAAAGAACTGAGTGAAATGAAGAAATTACTAGACTAAAACAATGGCTACTATGTCTTCAAGTTCTATCCGTTATGTGAGAAAAAATTATCTGTATAACCAGGTAGACTATTTGGGAAAAGTCCTTGGTCAGAAGAGAGAAACAGTATTTTATAAAATAAAATAAGCAATTGAGTAAATGTTCAGAAGTAGCAAAGTCAAAGGCAAAGGGGTATACCCTGCAAACTCCACAATGGCCTTCAAACTGGTCTTCCAGTTTTAGAGAGACAATTAAGACTGATCTGGACTCAAATCTCTACATTTGCCACTTGCCGGCAGTATAACTTAAGACTTGGTTTCCTCGTTATAAAATAAGGACACAGGTACTTACTTCGTAGGGTTGTAGTGAGGACTAAAGGAGATGAGGTATGTAAATCTTTCAGTAGGTACCTGGCATACAGTAATAAATGGTGGCTTTATTTCACTAATCTATATCCCTATTCTTTTCCATAATGCAAACTCATACCAAATAAACCTTAAAAATTCAGCTTTGATTATGCCACTCCCCTATTTAAGATCCTCACAAATCTATTTATCATTGACTAAATCAAAACTCTTCACCTTGGCCCCCAAAGCCTTGTGCAATGTTATACAAAGTACCATTCTAGTCTTATCTCTCGATTCTTTCTTCTGGTAAGGACTTGGGCATTCCTGTTCTGTAGATCTTTTATGATTTGACTCATGCTGATCTCTTCTTGGAATCTCTCCTCATAAAAGCCTACCTAGTCACCAATGCCAATAATTAATATAAACAATAATGATGACTACCATTTGTTAAATGCCTACTCTGTGCCAGAGAGATTTTTTTAACTATATCATACATTATCCGATTTATCTTTATACCTCAATAAAATAAAAATTATCTTCATTTTACCTACGAAAAAACTAAGAACTTCCAAGGTTACACAGGGCTAATAAGTATTCAGCTTAACTCCAAATCTCATGTTCTTGACCTGGATTGAATTGCTCAATTCAAATACTACTTCTTTCAGGGAACTTTTAAAAGAATTTACAACCAGATGCAATTTTTCCTTAAGCTTGAGTAGTACTTTAGAGGCATAATTAGAAACAGTCTGGTCTCTATCATTTAAAAAAAATTCATTTGACCAAACCAACAAACAGCACATCCTCTCTGGGAAACACTAGCTTGAGGAGAGGGATTATATCTTGTTTCTAACAATGGATACTCAAAATACAGGAACTTAAAATTTAAACTGGTGAAGTTCCTAGTGATACTTTTCCAGACTTTGTCAAGTGATACACATCCTAGCCAAGTGATAACACATCCTGGTCATAGAAGACAAAAGTTCAAAATTTGTTTAGTTACAGAGGATTCATTTGGCAACCAGGAACAATTATAATTTTGCTTCCCTTTTAAGTCCTATCAGTCCTTTCTTACTTTGTAAAGAAGTATTGTAGTGCTTGCTCACATAAACTAATTTATATATTTAATGTGAGGTTCTCCAACCCGAGGAAAAAGAACATTAAAGGACTGAAAATCCCACAAAGAGAATGACAGGCCTTTTGTCAATATCACCACAAAAAATTTTTAACTGGTCTTTTAAATTGTCCTTGAAAGTGTTGGAAACTAATTACATAGCAAAGTATTAGTTATGCATGAAATTTAAGAACTCATGAAAAAAGCAGGCTTCAGAGAAAATAATATGACATGAGAATGTTACATATCAGAATGCTTCCAAATTTTCTTATTTACCTAATTCAATGGCTCCATTTTATGAAAGTACTTTTCATTTTAAAAAATCATGAAACATATATTTACATATAATACACAACCTCTCTTCAGTGGGATGGCTAAAATGGTGTCAATAGATATGAGACAGCCTGTAGTCTGACAGGCTAGAAGGATTTAAGACACAATGGAATAAAAATTAAAATGTGCCATAGTGTCAGAGCATGGGAAGATTTTTGCTAAGCGCAGACCCAGTGAATCGCTGGAGCTCTGTCTAAACACAAGCACTAACATCTCTGGCTGTGCTACACATTTCAATGGTCATCTTTTAAGTGACTACAGAAATCTAGGCAGGGAAAGTACTATATGAAACAGCTCCATGACTCTCACATGTCACAAAAGGGCTAATTTATGCTACAAAATGAAAAACATTACATCATTTTCCACCAAGATACCATAAGATATAGCTCCTCAACTCCATCTTGAAAGTGCTTCTTAAAGATTCTGCTGTATTTCAACCGAATCTGTATTTCTTCATTTTATAATTACCATTTTCTGGTATCTCTATTTCATCAATCAAGCATTCTTTTCTATTTTAAAAGGCAAAATATCTAGAAGTTTAATCTTTTCTGTAAACTTTCCTAAACGGATAATATTCAAAGACTTTCTTCAACGAACAATATTAGCTGTTTCTGCTTTTTTTTAATTGGGAGAGGAAAAAAACCCCCCAGTACTTTGTTTTATTCAGAGCAGGCTTCAAACACTGTGACTACTTTCTAGCAGTGTGTCAGTATGACATTTCAGGGGCATCTGTAACTAAATGTTTCATAATATACTACATATTGATGCTGGTAAGCCCCAATATTTTCCTTTATGGTTAATTATAATACTCCCTCATCAAGACTGAGGAAGATGTCAACTAAGTTCATATTTAAGAATCAGATTTCCTTTTTCAAAAGACATAGTTCCATGTTATCAGACATTTGTATGTAGACAGATAAGCAACTAGTGGATTTTTAAAAGTATTCTCACAAAAGCATACTACCTAAACTTGTGGAGAATAGAAGGATGTATTTTCTAAAAGCTTAAATAGTATGCTTATGTGAGAAAACCTTTAAAAATTCACTACTATACCTAATTATCTACTATGATTTAAATTCTTTAGCAAAACTCAGAACCTTAAATATGTTTTCTTACCTCAGGAGCAAACATGGTCTCATAGGTAGGATTATACTGAACTTCTTTGACAGCAGGGTCAAGGTGAACTCCAGTCTCCAAATCTTCCTAAAAAGAATACGAAATAAATATGAAAGATCTGATAAATGACTATTTTATTTTAGAAGCCACATTAAAGTCACACTAGCCATCTTTAACATCTATTTTATGGTTATAATGTATCATATGATTAATAATTCTAATCAAGATTAATAAAATTAATGTATACAGTTAGTGTTAGAGGTTAAAATATATAAAAAAATTTTTCTTTTTGAAATACTAACTTTATTAAAACTTTAAAATTTTTAAATTTAAAACTAAATAAGTTAACATTACTCAAAGTCTTAAATTAGTTTAAGATATTCCAACTCTTCTTTGTTATTAACTCAAAAGACCCAAACCTCTACTGCCAAATTCAAAAGAGGTATTTCTCTTTGTATTCAGCAAACTGTATTAGATATGTAACCAAATTGCACTTGGTTGGGTACTGGACAGGAAACAAAAGGAAGTGACAGGGCCTGAATCTTCTAAATCTAAAGTCTTACGATATCAGTTAATATTTCAAACATCTTAAATTCATTTCCCAGATTACTGAAAATAAAAATCTCATCTCCACTGACGAATCACTGGTAGTATAACTTTTGTATAACTCCACCACTTACAAATATGACAATTCTCAAATTGGTATCTTTAGCCTGGACCTCCCCTGATTTCTAGAGACTTGTATATCCAACCTTCAACTTGGCATCTCTTCTCCCAAGATATCTAACAGACATCTCAAACTTAATATATCCAAAAGAGAACTCGTGGCCTCCCCTCCCTCAATGAATCCTTCCAGGCTTCTCTTAGTTAATCGCAATTCCACCCTTACAGTTACTCAGGTGAAAATCTGAAGTTTTCCTTGATTCCTCTTTATTTTACACTTTATATCCAATCCATCATCAAATCTTGTACCTTCTACAAAAATCCAGAATTCAACCACTTCTGACATCCTCTATTGAAGTGGCTCAACTTAACATCTTGTATCTGGGTTTTTGGAGTAGCTTCTTACCTGGTCTCCCTGTTTTCTGTCCCTGACCACCTATAGCCTCACTTCCCACAGGAGATAGTATGATTCTTTCAAAATATTAGTCAGGTTATGCTACTCCTATGCTCTAAACCCCTCAGTAGCCTCCCTAGTCAGAGTAAAAGCCTAACAAAGGCCTGACAAGCTCCATTACCACTGGTTCTCAGGAAGCAGGCAGGTTCCCTAGAGTAGTTTTACAGGGTATTTTTGTTTTCCTCTGTTGTCCTGTCTGAACATTCACATATTAAAAACATATTTGATTATAAGTACCTTTCCTGTAATTACTGCACTTACGTTCTATTTTAAAAATTGTAAAGAAGTTATATATCATCTACAAATTATATTTCAATAAAGTTGGTATTATAACATTGCTGTCATAAAATGACTGGTTGAGAATTTCCCCTCCATGGTCAGCCCCCTGCCCCTACTAACTTCTGTCTTCATCTAGCACTATGCCTGTGCTCACTTCACCCCAGTCTCATTGGCTCATCTGCTATTCCTAGAACAGGCCAAGGAACAATCCTGCCTCGGGGTCTCTACACTTATTGTTATTTTCCTTTGGAATGAAATGTTTTTCCTGTGGATAGCCACACGATTGTTCTCTCTCCTTTTAAGTCTCTGCTCAGTTTTTCTGCTTCCCCCTTACCTTGTTTTATTTTCCTCCATTATATTTATCCTCAATGGACATATATATTATCTCGCTCTCTCCACTAAAATGTAAACTACACAAGGTGGATTTTGCACACACAAATGTACAATCAAACCCTTGAACTATCCCTATCATATCACCATCTTTATTCTGCTGGCCTCTTGTTGATGGTAGGATATATCCCCTAACACAATGCAAAGACAATGCAAAGTAACATCACGCATTCTGCAAAATAGATGGGATTTCATGAAGTTGATACTGATGTTGGAGAAGCAGCAATGCCACAGATAAGTGAAGATCTGGTAGAGTTAGACTAGCTGATGACCAAAGACTAAAAAACCGACAAGAAAAATACCATAAACCTACATTCACTGTTCCAAAATTTGACCACTCTTAAAAACACTTTACCATGGCCCCTGTATCAAAACAGGCAACTTAGTTTCTCTACTTCTTAAAGATTCAGAGCCTATCAGGTCCCTTGAGCTTCTCTTCTCTCTAAACTGCCCATATCTTTACCCTGTCTTATCCTATCCTTTTCATGACTTCAATTACCACCCCCAATTTTTATCTGCAGCCTTAATCACACACCTAACTTTGGATCCACGTATCCAACTGCCTACTAAATTTCATTATATGAATGTCCCACAGCATCAAACACTATGCTATGTCCAAAAGAGAACTTACCATTCCCCCATGACTCCATCTTCACTAATAAATCAGGCACAGTCTTGCTGACTCTACCTGTGAATATTTCTCCAGCAATCTCACATTTACCCTCCCCTTTTTGCATCCCAGCTATACTGGCCTAGTTAGGGCTTCATTATATTTGCCCTGGCCTATTGTAATACTTCCTTATCTGCTTTAATACACCCTCACTTTTGCCATATTAGACTAATTGCTGATTTTTAAAAATAGCAAGCACTTTGACGCTTTCTGTGCTGCAGGCAATGTTACCGCCTTACATCTTAGGCAATGCCTTTATTATTTTATGTCGCCTTATTTTTCCTGATACCTTCCCTCCTCCTGCCTCAGGAAAACTGTTGTTTTGTTTGTTTGTTTGTTTGTGGTACTAAAAAAATGCTGTACTCTATTTGATAGTACTTGTGATATATTATTTGTTGCACATGGCTTTTACGTACATCATATATCCTCACTGCTCAGTAGAACACAGGGCATTCAGCACATATTCAATAAATATTTGTTAAATTAAATTGAAGAAAAGCCAAATCCATAGAGAAATTAAGTAGGATAAGGCTGGCCAACAATCACTGTATTTGGCAATTATGTCATAAAAAACCTTTGCGAGAGTGACTTGGTTAGTAAGGACTATGGAAAGCCATCTGCAAGAGGCAGAGGTGTAAATGAGGATCTAGAAAAACACCGTATAAATCTGTACTGAAAATATTTGGTGATAAAAAACAGAACAGATGGGGTATCAGGTTGAAGGATTTTCAGGGTCAAGTTTTTCTTCTTCCTTAAGAAGAGACTAAGTCAAAGATGTGGTCAATCGTAGGCTAGAAGGCAGGTGACGGCAGGGAGAGACACATGACAAAAAGGACCAGATAAAGGTACAGTTGTCCTGGAAGAGGTAGGAGGGAATAAAATTCAGGACACAGTTGAAAGATTAGCCTCTGAAAAGAGGAGTGCTCTCTTTGGGATGAAATAGAGATGACAAAGGTAAGAATGGGTGATGGATGACAGATGTTTGGAGATGTTGGGAATCATAATTGATCTCTTTATTTTCTTGGTGTAGTCAGGGCACAGGCATCTTTATAAAGCAAGCACGGAGCTCCAGATTCATTTATTCATTTAACAAATTTGATTGTGTGCCTACTATGTGCCAGGCACTGTCCTGGGCCCACAGAAACAGACAAAGATACCTGCCCTTGTGGAGTTTATATTGTAGCGGAGGCAACAGACAATAGACTATATAACACCTAAATAAGTTATACAGCTCTCTAGAAGAGGCTAAATAACATGAAGAAAAAGAATTTAACAACACTAATGTGCCAGCACCAGAGTAGACACACTATTTCATATAATCTGTGAGGGTAAGTGTTAGTAGGATTAAGTCACTTAACCCGAGCTACTAATAGAATAAAAGGGAAGGGGAAGAGCTCAAAGTAACCACAATTAACAATGTTAAAGAGACCTAATTAGTGACAAATTAAACAATCACTGGCAGAGTAACTAGGTGTATCAGTCAGGGTTCTTGGTTGCAAGCAGCAGGCTGACTCAGCATTATAAAATCCTTATGAGTTTCTCTTAGAATTACCAGGAAGAGTGGAGAATAAGCTTTGACAAGTAGGCAGAAATAAAGGGTCAGTATACATTTAATAGATGAAATCGCAATTCAAAATTAGTCATCACAGAACCCATCAAAATTAATCATCACAGAACCCATCCAGTGAGGATAATGACTGAACACTACTACTAAACTGCTATGGCTACCACTGGATGCTGCTACTGAAACTACTGGCCTGAGAAACTAGAAAACGTTGATTACCATTGCCAATTTAAGTCCTCTTTCCTGGCTTCTTTGCGGATAAATTTCAGATTAGAAAGCTTAGGTTGGTGCATCTGTTTGGCTGAGCCCATCAGATACACCCACCCAACAGTCCTGAGCCTTAGCTGAAAGGGAGTTGAATGAGAATAATCTGGGTTTTCAGCTTCTGAAGATGGGTGATGAACAGGGATGTTCTTCACATTAAAACCCTTAAGAAAGGGGTTTCAAATGCTAGGCCACTGAAAAGATGACAAATATTATCTATATCACCCCAGAATGAACACTAGAATCTTCACTGATGAAAGATACTATCTTGCATACGGCCCAATAGCAAACTCAGTACTATAAAGTTAGCAGGTTACATACAAATTGCTTAAACTGCATAAAAGCTAAATTAAATGCTTTTCCCTCTTAATATTCAACTCCTAGTAACAAACTGCTTAAAATAACATGAGGCTTAGCCACATTCATACCTTCCCAAAGGATGTTATAGTGTACAGTTGCTAGAACCACTTTATAATATGGGATATGAGATCTTTCCAATTAAGGGTATATAAAATATTCTAAATTGAAATTATTTTGAAGAGTATCATGACACATCAATTTTTAAATGCAAAGTACAATGTAAGAAATTACTGTTTATATAAGCAACACTGGCAGCCAATAAAAAATATAAGTAAGTCCCAGTCTCTGACTCCTGCTAAAATTATAGAACAAATTGAACAACCCTCAAGAAAATGAAGGGCTGTTATTTTACAAAAATTTAAATAGAAAACTTGGACAATACCACAACCTTGTTTTAACACCCATAGGAGTTCAATACCAATTAGGCATGCAATTGGAATTAC